GAGGGCATGTCCTGTGTTTGTCATGGTTCCAGGAAGCACAGTAGATGAGGAGTGAGTGTGTGAGTGTGTGTGTGTGTGTGTGTGTGAGAGAGTGTGTGTGTGAGAGTGTGTGTGTGTGTGTGTGTGTGTTGAGGGGACGTCCTGTGTTTGTCATGGTTCCAGGAAGCACAGTAGCCCCATTGGGGTTCTGAGCAGGTTTGTGCTCCTTTCACTGAAAGGGGGGGTGACAGGATCTCTTTTTTTCCTTATACCAGGATTTTTGTCTGGATTTATGATGTCATCACTCTAATAAATGCTATTTTCATCGCTCTGGATGAGAAAAACCCCCTCATTTCCTATGCAGAATGGCTTTTCCTTTCTCTGTATGTTATTGAGATTCTTCTGAAACTGTACACATATGAGCCCAGAGCCTATTTTGGAAGAAAGCAGTTCTGGAACTGGTAAGCCTGTGTGTCCTGGGAGAGTGGGAAGAGAAGGGGCTCACAGTTCGGGGAATACCCTTGTAGTTCTCCACGCTCCATCTCCCTGGATCTGAGGCAACTTACAATGACATGTGGGGGTAGGGGTGGGAGACATCTGGCATAGTAAAACTCTTATTCATGATGTGAGTTTGAACCGACTAGCTAAAATTAGAGTCAGAAGTCATGGCGTCTTGGATTTGGAAAGGATCTTAAAACTTCATACCCAGTGGAGGGGGTTCCTTCTGTAGATCCCAGGCCTGCTCCCTAGTCTTACTGTCAGGAACTCGGACAGCGTGTCTGGACAGCAGGACTGTCGGCAAGCTCCCCCCAGATCTTCTCTTCTCCAGGCTGTGTACCCCCGGGTCTAGAGCCACCGCCTACCTGCCACAGCCAGCCAGTGCTGGGCGCTGGGCACTTGATGTACAGCTGTATTGAGTACCACTGCATCCGGCACTGTGGGGACTTTTTGTTTCAGTAAAAAAAAGTTACAGTGCGTTTAGTACAGTTAATACCAAGAAACATAATATGTATTCTGAAAATGAGTCAAAGTATTCTTACAAGTATATAATTATTTTGGAAGACATTTGAAGTGATGTGAATTGGCTGATTCCTTACAAACTCCCTTGGGTAATTCGTTATGAATGCTCACTGGATTGTTCAAACATAGTGTTTCTTGATTCATATTTGTTGTCCTAAAAATTATGTAAATCAGTTCAAAAAATTTTTATACATTTTTGATTGTGGCAGATACATGTAACAAATAGTTTGCCTTTTCATTGTTCTTCACATGTATAATTCAGTGACATTATACGCGTTGGCTGTCAAGCCGATTCTGACTCATAGCGACTCTTTAGGACAGAGTAGAACTGCCCCATAGGGTTTCTAAGGCGTGGCTGGTGGATTCAAACTGCCGACGTTTTGGTTTGCAGCCCAGCGCTTAACCACTGTGCCACCAGTGCTTCTCAGTGACATAGTTACGTTTATTGTGTTGTTCGGCCATTACTATCATCCGTTTCTTATGGCTGGATTGTTGCTTTGCATGAGGTACTGGGTTGGTTTTCTCAGAAGCCCTGGTGTCCTGAGCTTGGCAGGCCTTGCCCTTGACTTGTAACTGACTTTGCTTTTCCACCACCGGGTTTGAGGCATTGATCATCATTGCAGCCCTGGTGGCCTCTGTGGCCAATGCCAGTATCCAGTCAGGTCAGCACCACTGGCTCACGGCTTCACCCCGTCTCAGGATCACACGTTCAATCAGTAGTCTTTGTTGGGTGTTCACCATGCACCACTGAGGTGTTTGGAGTTAAGGGGTGGGGTATCCAAGAGATTTATTAAAAATGTTCCATGTTCTTGAGAGGGGGGTTCATCTCCCCTAAAAGTCGTGAAGGCCTGGTAGCCTTGTTTGTGTTTAGCTTTGTTTTAGAGATTTTGTTTGTAGATGTTTGTCCATCAGACAAAATCCTCACTCCTCTCCAGAGCTGGTCCATGGTCTAGGCTGACCTCCACACCTGTGACCCGATGCCCACCTCTGCCCCACCCAGGTTCCAGCCATAGCACGTGTGGCCTCTGCCTAAGTCAACTGGATCCAGGAGCAAGTGGAGCCCTCTGCCTCGTCCCCTGCCCACCACCTTCTCTCTACCTTCCTCATGCACCCCCCATGCAAATGCCTTCCTGCAGATGGCAGGTGGGCTTGTTCAGGGTAGTGCAGCCTCTTACCATGACTATGGGAAATGAGTGCTGGGGAAGGAAGGGCTTGTTGGAGCAGGTTCTTCTGTAGAACTGGATCCACATTACTTGATGCTGACCTAAAATCTACACCCACAAACAGCCCAGTGTGGCACACTCCCCATTCCTTGCTGCTGAAGTCTACACCCACAAACAGCCCAGTGTGGCACACTTCCCATTCCTTGCTGCTGAAGTCTACACCCACGAACAGCCCACTGTGGCACACTCCCTGTTCCTTGATGCTGATCTGAAGTCTACACCCACAAACAGACCAGTGTGGCACACTCCCCGTTCTGTGACTCCGGGACTGGGGCGGAAGAGGGAGGAACCTTGGGTGTATGCTCAGCTCACTTGGCTTCGATTTGCAGGGTAGCCTGTTTCCTTGTTCCTCAGAGCCATTGTCCTGTTCTGGAAGCGACACCCAGTCGTTCCCCGACATCGACAGTTTTGGACCTCACTGACGGGGTAAACCAGAGACTTCAGAAAATGGAATGTTAAGTTACTGTGTTCTATTTCCAGCAAGAAAATACAACAGTCAGCAGATCCTGGATATTGTCTTGGTATTGAGAATACTCCGGCTCTTAAGGGTGGTCGTCAGCATCCAGAGGTAGGGACGGAGCCGTTGAAACTGCTGCCCTTGGGTCCCTCCCCGCCCCGGAGGCCGGTGGAAGGCAGTCCTGCCTTGACTGGATGCTCCCAGCTGTGAGCCCAGAATGTGCCTGTATAGAGGAGCTGGGGTTCTCGGGGAGCATGGAGGGGGCAGCCTTTGAGGATGGGTGGAGAGCGTGCAGAGGGCAGCTCCCTGAGCAGGAATTTTGTCGTTGGTCACTTTCATCTCTGCGTCCCTGGCTCCCTTGTGGCTACACGGTGAAGGCTCTGACTGAATAATGCGCTGTGATGGCAGCTAATGTTACTGAGAAGTAACCAAACGCCAGGCACCTGTGCTAAGCATTGTCTCGTTAAAGCCACCAACAACCCCTGACATTGAGAATTGTATCGTTGCTAGTTTAGAGGTGACAGCTCTGCCACCTGGCCAGGTGCGCAGTTAGAAAGGTGCAAGGCCCAGAGTAAGCCCAGGAGCCTGACCCCAAAACCTGGAAAGCCCATCCCCCAGATTCCTTCCCAGGACTGCGGGGGTGATGCCTCCGTCAGAGGACTGGCCTGTTCCCAGAGGAAGTGTTCAGTTGTCAACATAGACCTCCAAAACCCACTGCTGTCGAGTCAGCTCTGACTGATGGCGACCCTATAGTGACCCCAGAGGACAGAGTAGAGCTGCCCCTTAGGTGTCCAAGGAGTGCCTGGTGGATTCCAACAGGCCTCCAGGACGCCCTTAAAACAGACTCGATTCTGGTGGAGACGAGCTGGCGAGACAAGTAGAAGCAGCTAGTTTTTCAGCCTCCACACCTGTTTGTCTTATTAGTGAAAAAAACAAAAAACCATCTAGTTGCTGTTGGGTCTGTTCTGACTCGTGGCGACCCCATGCGTTGCAGAGTAGAACTGCACTCCAGAGGGTTTTCAAGGCTGTGACCTTTCAGAAGCAGACTACCAGGCCTTTCTTCCAAGGCACCCCTGGGTGTGTTCAAACTGCCAACCTTAGGTTAGTGGTTGAGCTCTTAACCATTGATGCCACCCAGGGTTTCTAGTTACCTTTGTTACATTTTCCAAGACCACCTTGCTTTGATCTGAGAGAACCTGCAGGCTAACCCCTTCCCCAGCTTGGTAGATGGAACGATTTGACAACGTCGTAAAGACAAATTATTGAAACATCTAAGCGCAGGCCCGGGAGAGCCGGGTATTCGGCTGAACGCAGGCCCAGGAGAGCCGGGTATTTGGCTGAACGCAGGCCCTGGAGAGCGGGGTATTCAGCTGAACGCAGGCCCGGGAGAGTGGGGCATTCAGCTGTATTTTCCCTCTTCCTTTGCCTCGCAAACCTCGTCGTGTTCCAGGTTCCGGGTGGTAGTGACCACCCTGATCACCGTCGGTCCCACCACGCTGACCTTTGGTGGACTTGTCTGGGTAAGTGGCTGCTCTCGCTGCTGTTCTGTGTGAAGCAAGTTTATTCTTAACAGCGCTTAATGCTCCTTACTTTAAGTAACGGAAAGAAAGGGAGAGCAAGTAAATGAGATTCAGCTGACTTCCAGTGGCAGTTTTAATAACGTATCGAGTTTTTCTGGAAACATTGGCCATATATTAGCGTATGTGCTATTACACTACATTACAGGTGTCCGGGCTGCTGTAATAAACACAGAATCCATGGACTAACTCAGTTAAGTTTCTTTCTGACTGGTGCAGTGGTCCAGGCGGGCATCCCTAGCTAGCAGATGGCTCCCAGGGATTCAGGCTCCTTCCATCCGCTGGCTCTGCCCTCAGGACTGAGAGTCTTCTTTCTGCTGCTCATGGGGAAAGCGCATCTGCCCCCCACTGGCTCCTGCACGGCGTCCACTCCCGTCCGTGTGAGAATGCGGCCACAGGCTGCGGGGGGCTGGGTGCCCGCCACCGGGGGCGAGTCCCCATGTGGATGGGGAGCATGAACGTTGGTGCCCACTGTGCCGCGGGGTGTTTTTATAATAATAAATTCAGTTACTATAGAATAAAAAGTAGACTATAAGCCACCCATTCTTGTCCCTACACTCCTCTTTCCAGAGTCATTAAGAGGTTCTTGTTACTCCTCCTAAATATTTCTGTGCTACAAGTGTGTCACATCCACGTAGATGTGCATCCAGTTTATTATTTACCCAAAAAAGATAATTCATACAAAATGTTGTTGCACAACTTCATTCTGCTTCATGTTTCTGTCATGTGTCAGGGAGGACATACACACTTATGTCATCTCTGCCGTGATTGCAGCGTGTCCGCTGAGGGACGATGACATACGTGTCTCAGCCGTCCCTCTGCTGAGAAGCTCGTGGGGTTTCACGCTTTGCCCTTACAAATAGCGTACGTTCATCATGGTGTCCCGTTCTTGTCCGTGTATCTGTGTGTTTATGTCAGTGTGCCTGTTTGACGGATTCTTAGAAGTAGAACTAAGTCAAAAGGTAAATATGTTTAAAATCTGGGTGTAATTAGCTGCCGTTGAGTCAGCCCCGTGCACATAGGGATCAGACTGTTGTGATCTCTAGGGTTTTCATGGGCTGGTGTTCAGAAGTAGATCATCAGACCTTTTTTTCAGACTGTCTTAGTCTGGAAGCTCTGTGAATCCTGTTCAGCGTCACAGCAACACACAAACCTCCACTGAGACAGGTGGTGCCTGTGCATGAGTTGCATCGGCCGAGAATCGAAACCGGGTCTCGCGCATGGAAGGCGAGAATTCTACCACTGAACCACGATGTTGTCCCTGGGTGACACAGCTGGTTAACCAACAGGTCGGTGGTCCAAGTCCCTAGAGCAAAGCCCTGGTGATCGACTTCTGAAAAATCGGCTGCTGAAAACCCTGTGGAGCACGGTTTTACTCTGATACGCGTGGGGTTGCCATGAGTTGGGATTGACTCGGCAACTGCAAAATTTGGGTAGATGGTGCCAAATTGCCTTCCAGAAGAAGTGCTTCCATATAGACTCCAATGACCGTGTGTGACTCCACCCGTTTCCCTGCACCCCTGACCACCGGCTTTTATTAAACATTACCCCCCTCCCCGCCCCAGTCTGATAGGTGGGAAGTGGCATTTTGTTGTTCAACGTGTGTTCCTTTAGTTATTATTGGGCCTGAGCATCTTTCCGAGTGCTTTTGGCCAAGGAGCTAATTTTTCAGTGTACAGTCTACTCATATCCTTGGTCATTCTACTGCACGTTTTATTTTTTATACCATTTGTAGGAGCTCTTTGCCTGTTAAGGAAACAGGCCTTTGGTAAGTTGTGTCCTAAGGATGGGGCAGGACCAGGCAACGTTTCTCTGTCACGTACGCAAGACTGCCGTGAGCCGGAGCTGACTCGACATCAGCTAACAACAACTTGTGTAAAGAGCAGTTCTTTTTCCTTGTCTGTTACTTGTTTTTCTGACATAAGGCTTGTTTTGTTTCGTTTGGCTGTACAGACGTTTAAAGTTTTGTGGTTTGTAGGTGTTACGTGATGCCTAGCAAGGCCGGTTTCAACCCTTTTCTTTTCCCCCTTGTTCCCTTATAGTTTTATTTTTAACGTTTAAACCTTTGGTACCTTCGGAATTTATTTTGGTATAAAGAACAAGGTAAAGACCCAATTTTATTTTTTTTCCCTAGAGCACTCGTTTATTATTATTTTTTTAATTGAGTATTTAACTCACTGACTTGCTAACAGCTACTGTTTTTGACTTTGTAAATGAAGTCTGCGGGGAAGTCAGTGTGCGGCCCAGCTGGCCAGGCCCTCTGTCCTTCCACGGACAGCTCAGGTTTCTCTGGCTGAGGGGCCAACTCCTTCTGACCCTCTTCCTGAAGCTGCTCTGCACTCTTGCCTGGAGAAGGCAACCTTCTCTGGTTCTTTGGCCAAGGGAAGACATTCAGTGGCCCTTTCTACTGGAACCCAGGAAGAGGTGCAGACCAGTGTCTTCAGATGCAGGCTGTTCTGGGCTCTTCTACCTGCTCCCTGCTGCCCGATTCTGCAGCTCTGTGCGGCCACTGACCACTGGGCGTCTCCCATCCTAGGTGGTCTACTATATGTTTGCTATCGTTGGGATGGAAATATTCCATGGCAAAGTCCGGTTCTTTGACCCAAATTTCACCACTCCGGATGCTCTGGTGTGTGGGAACCTAGCCTTAAAAGCTACAGCCTTTGCCCGAGACAGATACTGCAGAAACAATTTTAATGGCCTCAACTCTTCGTTCATCGCGCTGATGGCGCTCACGCTGGTTAACCAGCGGCACACTATCCTTTCCGAGAAGGAGTGGGGTTCACAGAGGGGCTGCCTGTCCCCTGGAAGTTACTTCAGGGAGGAGAATCAGTCATGGCATCTTTGGGCTTAGGGGGCACGCCGCGTTTCTCGAAGGTTTGGTTCCTTAGCTTCCTACTCGTTGCAGGTGGCTTCGCCCTGGTGACTCATCAGGCGGCAAAACTGTACTTCATCGCGTTCCACATCGTGGTTGTCATCCTCATCGTTAAGTGAGTTTATTCCTGCCATCTGTTGAATCTTAAATCTCCATTCCAGAATTTCTAACTGCCTGCGCTTCCCTCCAGCACTTCTCCTGTTCCAGCTGGGTGTACGTTGTTGGTGTGTCTCATCTCCTACGTCCTGGGAGGGGAGGGGTCATATTTTTGCTCACCTTTGTGTTTCTCATAGTGTCTACCAGCGTCTTGCCCATCGGCTACTGTACATCTCACAGTCGTTGGAGTGGAAAGGAACCTGAGGTCCGGACCGGGCTCCCCACCCTGCCCCCCAGAGATTTGATCACCTCTAAAACACCCCTAAACACCTCTAAAACATTGGAACCCTGGTGGCGCAGTGGTTAAGAGCTCGGCTGCTAACCAAAAGGTCGGCAGTTTGAATCCACCAGCTGCTCCTTGGAAACCCTATGGGGCAGGTCTGCTCTGTCGCTGTGAGTCTGAATCAACTTGACAGCAATGGGCTTGGTTTTTTTTTTTTTTTTTTTTTTGGCTTAAAACTTCCCTGCTGAATTGCCGTCCGGGCTCTGCCTAAATCTTTCCAACTACTGGGGCCCGTTAGAATCCCAGAGAGTCTGTCCCTGTTGTCTGCCAGGTGGGGTGGAAAGTCATCTGGTACATTCTCGTCAGGGGTTCCAGTCTGTTCTGACCTTTCTTCCAGGGGAGAATTCAGGAAATATTTGAACACTGCTGTGATAGCTCACCCCTCAAAACAACTCTCCTCCCCACTGAAGAATCTCTGATCCTGGTTCCTGGCTCCTTGTGTGACCTGACTGTGTGTCCCCCCGTCACTGTGACTCTCTCCTTCCCACTGAAGAATCTCTGATCCTGGTTCCTGGCTCCTCGTGTGACCTGAC